CGAGAAAGTGCGCAGGCAGCTCAAGGTAGGGCCACGGATCCCTATGGCTTGGCCCCGTGGAGTTGGCTCCTTTCTTCCCAGGGTGTGGGAGCCCTGAGGCAACTGCGGGTGGCAGGGACTATTTCCTGTGGGCCTTGAGAGGTGTCTCGGGCCGCGGGAAGCATTTGTCGCTGTTACCGGGGATGGACCTCAGGACCTCTCGGCAGGCAGGCAGGCACTGTCTAAATCCCCAGCCCAACAGGAAGCATTTTTCTGTCCACCACATCTAGCCACGCTGAGTGAGCTTCAACACCTGCAGGGAGAGTAGGTGAAATCCCGAGCAGGACAGAGAGCAGCTGGGACCCTCTGGGTCCTCCTCCTCGGAGCTCAGGAGGGCGCTGCCCGGGGACGGTCCAGCCCCGCAGCCCCACCGGGTCTGCAGGTGCTCACTCCTCCCCTGCAGGATGCAGGAAAGCCGGTGTCCTCTCCAGCCCATCAGTGAGAGCTGTTGTGGGACCAGGGTTTCCCAGCTGGGCTGCCAGTCCTTGGTCCCACCCGCCCTCACATCGATAGAGCTGGGAAATCAGGGAAACAGTCACCCAACCCTAATGGCGCATCCAGCAAACTGCACCCCAAAAAAAGGGACCAGAGGAGGGGAGAGGGGAGGCTGAGGCTCCATGAGGAGGAAGCTTCCCATCAACCAAAGGCACCGTGGGGCCTGCCTGTACCCCTCCTCCTACAGCGGGGCTCCCAGGGGGCCCTGGTGTCCTTATCTAGGTTCTGTGTCTCGAACTGAATGTAGAAGACGCCACCCCGTCCCCGTTGTCGGTCCTTATCCACCCTGCGTGGATGCCGTTCCCCGCTTCTCCCTCAGGCAGACTCGTCTTAGAAGTGGGGGTTACCCTGCACCCTCACCGCACTAGTGAGAGTCACGAAATCAGCAGAGGGTTGATCTGCACCCCACGCTCGGAGCGTGCCTCCTCCCTGGTCTGCGGACGCAGGGCCCCGCGGAGCACTGTGCTCCCTGAAGGAGCTCGCTGCAGCCGTGGAAGATTCGGTTGGCCCTGCTGCCCAACCAGCGACTTCCCTGTGTCTAGGTGATCCTGTGCTTCTCCCCTGTGGGCTCCGTCCTGCGGGTGCGAGCCAGAAAATTCCCCGCCGTGGTCAACTGCACTGCCATCGACTGGTTCCATGAGTGGCCAGAAGCAGCACTGGTGTCGGTCAGCGCTCGCTTCCTGGAGGAAACCGAGGGCATTCAGGTGAGGCGGGCAGGGCACAGTTCCTGTTCCGGTCCCCGCGCAGGAGCCCTTAGGAGTGGGAAGAGCCCCAGGTACCAGCCAGGGCCACCGCCTAGATGCCTAAAATGCACCTGTGTGTGGAACAAACACGTTTTCAAATTAAGCGCCTTAAAAATAACGCCACCAGGACGGTTTCTGAGGCACAGCTCCCAGGGCCACTCCGGTGGTAGGCAGCACGTCTTGTCCAGGGCCCAGGTGTGTCCTGGAAAACCCCGCCTGTCGGATCCACTGCGGCAGAGGCAGGGTGGTGCTGGCTGCGATGAGGAGGACGCCCCGTCCTGTCCTTGCAGCCGGAAGTGAAGTCTTCCGTCAGCTCCTTCATGGCTTACGTGCACACCACTGTCAACGAGATGTCCAAGACGTACCTGGCCACCGAGCGCCGCTACAACTACACCACGCCCAAAACCTTCCTGGAGCAGATCAAACTCTACCAGAGCCTGCTGGGCAAGAAGCGGATGGAGCTGGTGGCCAAAATCGAGCGGCTGGAGAATGGGCTGATGAAGCTGCAGAGCACAGCTTCTCAGGTGGGCGCCTTCGCCCAGAGGCCTCAGGGTGCTGCCACTGTCACGGGTCTCCACGGGAACGGCCACAAGGGGCCGACCGTGCAGGAAGTGGGATGAGCGGGATTCCTGCCTTGGAGGCTTTCATTTCCGGCCCAGAGATACAGAGCGATGGTCCGGTTTGCACAGAGAGCCTAGTGCTCTCCTAACAGTGACTTTGCAGTGGGCGTTGTGCACAGGTGAGGGCTGGTGCCCTGCGTCCGGGGAGAGCTGGCTCTCGAGTCCAAGGCAGTCAGCGAGGAGACACCCATTCTCACGCCTCACTCACACTGAGGTGCCGGCCGGGCCAAAGCTTCCGCTATCCTTTCTTCTAGGCAGTAGGGATTTTCAGGCCGTCTGCCTGGCCTTGAATACCCTCCACCATGGAGCCCCAAGTTCTTCATCTTTATGACCTGGTAAACTGCCGCCTCCTCCCTGCCCAGCTCACCAGGTCAGGAACAAACTGGAGCCTCAAACTGGAGCCTCACACTGGCTTCCCCGAGGGCTTTCCGATTCCCCAGCCACGTTTTCCTTCTCCTGCCAGCCTGGACGGCCCCTGGGGCCCCCTGAGCCCCTCCACACGGGACAAAATTGGCATAGTTTTAATCCAGACACCTTGACTGCCACCCCCTGCAGCACCAGAAATATGTCTTCCACACGTGATCCTGCGCATACAGTTGGTGCTTGATAAATACCAACCTTTGAGAAAATGAAGACCCCCTTGAAATGGGTCTCCCGGACCCCCAGCTGCTCTGCGAGGTCCCGTGGCTACCGGCCTCCATGCACCTGCGGAGGGCAGCGTGGTCCGGCCACGGCCCCCCATGCCAGCTTCTGGCTTCTCCTTCCGTAGGTGGACGACCTGAAGGCCAAGTTGGCGGTTCAGGAGCTGGAGCTCAAGCAGAAGAATGAAAACGCAGACAAGCTGATCCAGGTGGTCGGTGTGGAAACAGAGAAAGTCAGCAAAGAGAAAGCCATTGCTGATGAGGAGGAAATCAAGGTAGAAGTCATCAACAAGGTAGGCCAGGCCGTGCGGGGCTGGACAGAGGGCCTGACTCCCGGGGGCAGCCCCGGCCAGAAGAGGGCTTTCCTCGAGCAAACGCCCACCCTGCAGCCAAGGTCCTCAAAGTGGCCCCACCAGGAGCCTGTAGGAAACAGAGGCTGCCAGACTCCAGCCCGGCTTTGCTGATCGCACCTCGTCTGCTTTTTTTTTTTGAAGTGCTAAGGATTAATTTAATACCCAGAACCTGAATCCAGGGCCTTTGCCCTGGGCTCTATCCCTAACCCTTTTTATTTTTTGAGACAGTGTCTTGCTAAGTCACTAATTTGCCTAAGCTGGGCTCAAACTTGCAATCCTCCTGCCTCAGCCTTCCAGAGTGCTCAGATTACAGGCGTGGGCCACCTTGCCGTTTGTCTGCATTTTAACCGAAGCCCAAGGATGGGAGACCACCTGAGGGGTTGAGAAGCTGCTCTTGGAGCCCTGGTCTCTGACCACTGTCCCAGGCACCGCCGGGGTGGGAACATCACTGGCCTGGGGTATGCGGCTGAGGTGGACAGGACAGTGTCTTTAGCCCCTTTGCAGCCTGGAGGTTGTGTAGTGGCTGGTGGTGGTCCTCCCCGGCCCTTGTGTCCTGGGTACCCTGTCTCCACAGCGCTTTACACCGAGCAGCGGCAGCATCCGCTCAACAAGTCACTTTTCCACTTCCCCTGGGCTAACAGGGCAGGGTCTGAGGTTCCCACCTGTGCTGCGTGTAGAGGGGACTTGGGCCAGAGTGGTGGGGAGCAGGGCCGCGTTTCTCCTTTCTTCCCACACAGCCGCAGCCTGTTAGGCAGATGGGGAATCTGAGGCTGGGGTAACCGGTAAACTGCCCATGGTCTCGGGTGGGTGGCCTGGTTAGGATCAGGAAGGCCCCGGCTCCTGCATCCTTGTTTCTGGCAACTTGCTGCTGACACCGAAACAGCTAATGTCCCAGCATCCTCCTCTCCAGCCCAGCTCGGGGAGGTTCCAGGCCGGGAAGCGGGGTGCCGCCCCCTCTCCGCTGGCTCAGTGCCTGCCATGTCCATTCCCTTAGTCAGGTCCCACCCAAGTAGGGTGAGGGAAGGGACCCGCAGGGAGGTTTATCCCCTCGTCCTTTGCTTTACGGCCGCTGGGGGGGGCTTCACCCGGACACACTTCCTGTGCTCTCTGCTCAGAGCCCAGCGGCTCCGAGGGTCCTTCCTGGGCCAGGGAGTGAATGACTTGCACATGCCGGAGGGGCAGGCTCTGCCTTCTTAGAGGGAGGATGAGCTGCACACACTGAAGGGCTCCATTTTGGAAGGATCGAGAAATGGTTCAGAGAGGACAAGACTTCAAAGCCAGCAGCGGGTCTGGGTGGCGCCAATAGAAGGAACCGTTCCCAATCCAACGTCCCGACTGTGCTGGTGCCCTGAGAGCTGGGTGCTCAGGGCAGGGCAGAGGAGGCAGGGGACAGGCAGCGAAGGCGCTGTAGCCTCCTCTGATGCTCAGGGCTGCTGGGCCCTGGCTGGGGGGTGGGAGGAGGCCACACCCCTCATTCCCCTCCACAGCCCCCTCCTCACCCCATCGCCCAGCCCCCATGGACAGACAGGCGGACCTGTCTGACCTTTCCTGTGTGGCCTCCTCCTAGAATGTCACCGAGAAACAACAGGCTTGCGAGACGGACTTGGCCAAGGCGGAGCCAGCCCTGCTGGCCGCACAGGAGGCCCTGGACACACTGAATAAGGTGACAGGGAAACGAAGGGGGCACGGGAGCCTGGCCGGGCAGGCTGGGGAGGCCTTCACCCTGGGCCCAGTGGCAGTGGGCTCACACGGCGTCCTCTGCAGAACAACCTGACGGAGCTGAAGTCCTTCGGGTCCCCCCCAGACGCTGTGGTCAATGTCACAGCCGCCGTCATGACCTTGACTGCCCCCGGGGGCAAGATCCCCAAGGACAAGAGCTGGAAGGCCGCGAAGATCATGATGGGCAAAGTGGACACCTTCCTGGACTCTCTGAAGAAGTTTGACAAGGAGCACATCCCCGAGGCCTGCCTGAAAGCGTTCAAGTGAGTCTGGGCTGCAGTCACCCCTCTGCTCCACGCACCAGGGCACCCGGCCCGGGATCTCCCACTGGCCCGTGACCAGCTCCTAGGTGCGTCCCGGCCCTGGGGCTCAGGCGCTTGGGCAGAGCCGAGCCTGCTGGAATCCAAGAGGGGAGGACTACCCGGGGCAGATGTGGTTCTAGCCAAGATGTTGGGGGTGTCGAGGTAAAATGCAGCCTCAGTGGGGAACCCCATCTCCCTCTGTCTCCCCACCCGAGCGAGCTGGGCAGGTGGGAGGCCTGCGCTGGAGGTCTACGCCGCTGATTCCCTAGTCAGCACCCGCGGCAGGAACACAGAGCTCACAGGCTCGGCCACCAGGAACCCTGGGGCCTCAGTCCCGATCTGAGGCGCCCTCTAGGGCTGACCACAGGCGCGCACACTCGCACATACACTCGTGAACACAGTGTGCACACGCACACGTGCTGAAATATACACATGTGCTCCATGCACACATGCAGGTGTGCCGAGAGATACACATGCGCACTGCACACCCATCACACATATATATATGCATACACGTGCTAAAATGTACATCCGTGCGTGCATGTGTGTGAATGTCGTGTGTGCATTCTCGTCACATACACTCACACACGTGTGCACCAATACTAAAACATACACGTGTGTATATATCACAGCAGGGGGGTCCAGGAGCCGGGGGCCTTGTGTCCTTTTTGCTGCTGGTCCCTCGAAAGGATACCACATCTGGAAGGTGCCCTAGGGGCTGTCGGTGGCTCCCTCTGGGGTGGCCTTGGGACTTGTAAGGGCAGTTGGGGTTCCCATGTTTCACCCGGTAAATTCCAACAATCTCGCCCTGCTGAGGCGCTCCTCCTGTTCTGTGAGCACCCGGGGCCCATTTTCTACCCCTAGTGGTCTTTGTCTGGCCATCCCCTGGCTGTCCAATCTCAGGAGACACCTGCCTTGAGGCCATACCCCTGGCCACAGTGGCCCCTTGTGCGGGAGGGAGGGGCTGAACTGCTGAAAACCCTTTGGTCAACGCGGAAGTCTAAGGAGCAGACATCGAGGAAAGCACAGTCAGTCCGTCAGGAGGCTACCACTGTGGAGATTTTTTATCTATGTTTTCTCTTTCCTCCCCCTCCAGGGAGAGCTGGGGATGGAACCCAGGACTGTGACTGGGCTAGGCAAGTGCTCTACCACTGAGCCGCCCACCAGCCCAGAAAAACTTCTGGAACATTGCTTTTCAGTCTTTTTTCTCAGGTTTACCACAGTTGAAATAATATTCAAAATACACAATGATTTTGCACTTCACACCGTGACCAAAACAACTTGTGTGTGCGTTACGAAAGCACTTCGAGGTTCGCCCTGTAAGCTTCGGTCTCACCCCACTGGGGCCCAGTCGTAATTTGTCGTGATTCACACGGCCATTCCTGTGCTGCTGCGGACTTGGGCTGCTGCCACTTGGCCGTCGTAATGAGCAGTGCCTCAAGAGCTCCTCCTCCTCATCACCCAGCTTTAATGTCACTTTAATGTCGGTGCAGGCGCAGCACAGGGTGAGCAGGAGGGAGACGTGAGGGCCGCTTTCCCAGCCCAAATTCAAATTACTGTCCAGTGAAGATTTTGGATTTTCTACTCCCATTTTTTGCTGCTGACTTGATGCCGGTGTTGTCATCGCTTTTCAAGCGCGCGTGTCTGGAGGGCCTGCGCTGCGCATTGGGGGCGCCTCTGTGCATCTCCTCCCTAACAGCCTCACTGTGCTGGCCACGCTGCCTGGGAGAGTGGCAGAGTGGGCGCGGTGGGAGGGGCCTCTGCGCCACCTCGGGGGAGACACGTGCTCTCTGCACCCCAGGAAGGGGTGGGAATCCTGGTTCGGCCGCTCCCTGTTGTGTCCTGCTGCCACCGCCATCCGCGGCTCAGTAGCCTGCAATGCCCAGCCAGCCAGCGGAGGTGAGAGCAGGACCCGCATCCTGGCAGAGCCCATGCAGCACCGGTTTCCTCGACAGGCCCTACCAAGGCAACCCCACGTTTGACCCCGAGTTCATCCGCTCCAAGTCCATGGCCGCCGCGGGCCTGTGCTCCTGGTGCATCAACATCGTCCGCTTCTACGAAGTCTACTGCGATGTGGCCCCCAAGAGGCAGGCCCTGGAGGAGGCCAATGCCGAGCTGGCAGAAGCGCAGGAGAAGCTGTCCCGCATCAAGAGCAAGATTGCCGTAAGTGCTCGGTCGCCCACAGCCACTTGCTCACGCCGCCCGGTCGATACCTCTGTTTAAATGGGTTGGCTCGGCCTGCCGCCATGAATTATTAAGCGGCTTGGGAGAGTGCAGGCAGAGGTGGGCACCAGAGCAGGCCAGGGGCTGTGTGGCACACACCCCTCTGTGCTCAGGAGGGTGCTGGGCCTTTATAAGCTGAGCCATTCCATGCTCAGCACACACCGGGAGCTGGGAATGCCTGGCATCGTTATTCCAGGACCTTCCCGACTTGACTTTCCAGGAACTCAATGCCAACCTGAGCAACTTAACATTGGCGTTTGAAAAAGCAACGGCTGAGAAGATCAAGTGTCAGCAGGAGGCTGATGCCACCAGCAGAGTGATTTCCCTGGCCAACAGGTAGCTGGCTCCTCCCCGTGCACACCCCTCCCGTCTCTTAGGCCCCTCAGAACTCGGAGGAAGAGGAAGGAGCCTAGGTGGAAATAGCCAAGTTGCAGCGTTTGGTTTTTGAGCTCAGGGTGATTAGGTTAATCTAAGGTGGGATCCCCAAGACACACACACACACTGCCAGCCTCAGGAAACCGGCGTCATACCGCAGGTCCCAAGTGACCCAGCGTGGCCCGGAGCTCGTCCACAGGCGCATGCCCTGGGGAGGACACTGGACCCTGGGCATCCTGGGAAGGGGGCTATCCCGGGCCTCCCACCGATGCCAAACTGCAGCTGCGCAAGGCTCCTGAGTAGAACAGCAGCACATTCGCCTACCATCTACGCAGCCCTCTCCTGGGCTTGTAAACCACCCCTAGATGGTTTATAGTCCCTGACACCTTAAAAATGCAAGCTAAGCAGTTGTCACGCCCAGTGACAAGGAGAGGTGTACAAGTTCTCGGGACGCTAGAATGCGGTTCAGGAAGTTAGCAGTGCAGAAGCAGCCAGGCTTCCCCTATTTGTTTGTTTCTTTGTTTTTAACCTCGGCTCCAGTGGCTGGTGTCATGGCCTTAGCTCCGCCCCCTGCCCTCCCGCATTAAGTTCCACGGGAGGGTGGGACCTACCGTGGACTGTGCAAGTGAGGCAGCTAGCTTTGGCACTCCTGTGTACCCTTCCCAGACCACCGCCAAGCTGGCCTGTGGAAAAATTGTCTTCTGTGAAACCAGTCCCTAGTACCAAAAAGCACAGGAACTGCTGATTTAAAGAGCACAAAGAAAAGCTAGGTTCAGCCACACAGGCCTTTGATCCCAGCTATTCAGGAGGCTGATGCAGGAGGATCACAATTCTGAGGCCAGCCTGGGCAATTTAGTGAGATTCTATCTTAAAAAAAGACACAGACAAACAAGTGAAATTGATTGTGTGTGTGTGTGGTTCAGAAATATCTAAAACTTTTTCATTTCACTGCATGGTCAATGTAAAAACTATCCGTGAGCTATATTAGATGCTTGTTTTCATCCTGAGCTCTTGAAATCCAGTGATAATTTCGTGTCCAGAACAAGCCTCAGCAGGGCATTGGCAGAGTCGGTTCTAGGCCCAGCTCCTCCTTTTTTCACTTGTTTTTGTACTGAGGGTTGAACCCAGGGCCTTCACACTGAGCCTCGTCCCCGGCCCGGCCCTCTTTTTATTTTTGTTTTGAGGTCAGAGTCTCGCTAAGTCACTGAGGTGCTCAGGCTGGCCTCAGCCCTGTGATCCTTCCTGCCTCAGCCTGTCTAAGTGCCGGGATTGCCCACGTGTCCCACCACACCCGGCTTTGTTTCTTTAGTAGGCGAGAGGATAAATCCAGTTCTGGGAAGTCCATCTTAGCTGAAAGCAGACTTCCAGCAGATGAGATTCCTACCCTCTTTTTGTTTGGTTGTTTAGCGGATTGAACCTGGGGCTTTTGCGTTGAACTATATCCCAGCCCTGTTTTGTTTTGTTTGTTTTGTGGTACTGGGGATTGAGGGGCCTTTACCCTGAGATACGTTCCCAGCACTTTTTCTTTTCTTTTGAGGCAGGGTCTCACTAAGTCACGAGGCCCCTTAGGCTGGACTCCAATTTGTAATCTTGCTGCCTCAGCCTCCCTAGTGCCGGGATTACAGGCAGGTGGCACGGTGCCCAGCTTCCGGCTCATTCTTGGATTTGCCCCTCCCCAGTGGGCTGGCGGCCGGTGACCTGGGACCCTGGGAGGACTCGGGTTGCTGGGTTGGGCCTCAGGGTGGTGTGGGCACACCCTGCCAGGAGTGGCGGAGCTGACCGCTCCTGGAGGACGTCAGAGTGGATGTTAGAAGTAAGAGCTGCCGGGTGGCACCACCAGCACCTCTCAGTCGTGTGTGCCAGGCACCGAGACGCAACACACCCACCGTTCTGCCCACGCTCGTGGTGCACATTGAGTGTCAGGGACCAGTCTCGCCCTGGTGGCCGCTAAGCAGGATACACACGTGGGGCCAGGTGCTCTCCGGATCCTCCCTGTACTGTGGCCTCCGTGGTCCGCACCTGGACTCCACCACCACCAGGAGCCCCCGTGAGCCCAGGAAGCACCTGCAGGCTGTGCGTGAAAGGCTCGGGGCATTAGACGGGACATGGACACAGGACCACCTGGGACCAGGACCACGGCATATCAGTCACTGAGCAAGAGTCCCGGCGAGGACCCATGGGGGGGCACTGGTCCTCCGGCCCCGCCCACCTCCCCAACTGTGTCCTCTCGGCCTCTTTTAGGCTGGTGGGAGGACTCGCTTCAGAAAACGTCCGCTGGGCCGAGTCGGTGGGGAACTTCAAAAGCCAGGGGGTCACCCTGTGTGGGGACGTCCTGCTGGTCTCCGCCTTTGTCTCCTACGTGGGGTACTTCACCAAGAAATACCGGAATGAACTGATGGATAAATTTTGGGTCCCTTATATAAACAGCTTAAAGGTAAGAAGCACAGCTGTGTCTGTGACTCGGGTAAGGCCGGGGTCCCCAGCAGGGCAGCCGCCACGCCACCGCACCCTCCAAGGCAGAGGCATGGCCCATCTTGCTGGGGCTGACGGTGCAAAGTTACAAAACCTGCTGCATCGGGCAGCATCACCAGGCTTCTCCAGCCCCCAACGCAGGACGCGGTGCTATTCGAGAGCCACTCTCTGCCGGGTGCCAAGGCCGCACTGCCCCTCACCACAGAATGCCCTCCCTCGCTCGGCAGGTCCGCATCCCCATCACAGCAGGCCTGGATCCCCTGAGCCTGCTGACGGACGATGCGGACGTGGCCACCTGGAACAACCAGGGCCTCCCCAGCGACCGCATGTCCACCGAGAACGCCACCATCCTGTGCAACACGGAGCGCTGGCCCCTTATCGTGGATGCCCAGCTGCAAGGGATCAAGTGGATCAAAAACAAATACGGGAGCCAACTGAAAGCCGTCCGCCTGGGACAGAAGAGGTGTGTGTGCCGGGGGCAGGGACAGGGGGGCTCGGGAGGTAGCCAGGGACCAGCTGTGCCCGCAGACACTGCTCCGGGGTCACACGCGAGGAAGCACAGGCTTAGAGACCTGGTGTGGGAGGAGCGCACCAGCGCTATAGCACCGTAGCAGGGCCCTCCCTCGTCCTGGTCCTGCTGCCCTGCAGAGGCGGGGAACTGGAGCAGCTCCCGGCCTGCTCGGCCCCTGGCTGCTGAGGCTTCAGGCTGGTCGTTTTCTCATCTCTTGTGCGGTGCACATTCGCCTTCTGGTTGGGAAGTGGTGGCGACAGCCCTGCCTGCCTTCCTGGTCTGTTGGACCAGCACAGGAGCCTGGGGCGCGGATGGCTCCAGTTCTCACTTCCGGTCCCCTAAGCACCCTGGGCGGCTTAGGAAGACCTCCAACTCCTGGCAGGGAAGGAGGAGCCGTTGGCTCCAGGTGACCTCTCTGCCCCCTCACTGGAGGCCACCTCCCCAAGGCCGCTGCTGGGAACTGGCTCCTTCTGTGTTGTCCCCATAGCTACCTGGACATCATCGAGCAGGCCATCTCCTCAGGGGACATTTTGCTCATCGAGAATATTGGGGAAAGCGTGGACCCCGTGCTGGACCCATTACTGGGAAGGAACACAATTAAAAAGGGAAAGTGAGTCGTTTCGGCCTCCGGGTCTGACCCGGGTTAACACGCCCACCCTGTGGGGAGGCTTGGGTGGAGGGCTGCGTAGACCCCTGTCCTTGGCGAGTCCTCAGCAACAGGTGGAGGGCTGTGAGGGACCCCAGCCCCGAGGGATGCCGGAAAGCACCCCCTCCCAGTGAGGCGTCTATACCGCCAGGGCCATGCCGTGGTGACTGTCTCCATGGGGTGCTTCCTTCTTTCTTTTCTTATGCATTTTGTAAACCTTGCGATTGTCTCCTGTGGTTTAAATTATGGTGAAATTAGCCGTAGTACAGTGTCCAAGTCAGTGGCATCTAGGACACACACCGTGTTGTGCGACCATCACCTGTGTAGTCCCACAACCTTTTCATCACCCCAGCCATTATCCATCTGCTCCCCGTTTCTATCGTGATTCTACCCATTCTAGATGTTTCATCGCACAGAACCAGGCAGAGCGTGTGTGTGTTCCTCCTTCGTTCGTTCGTTCGCTTGTTTTGACTCGGGGTCTTGCTATGTCATTTCAGGCTGGCCTTGAACTCGTTGCGTAGCCCAGGCTGGCCTCAACCCCGCAGTGATCCTCCTGCCTCAGCCTTCTGAGTTTGTTTGTTTGGATTTTGCAGGAGTAGGGACCTAACTTAGGATTTTTGCAAAGTTACATCCCCGACCCTTTTGTTACTTTTTATTCTCGAAACAGGATCTTGCTTCATTTCTAATCTGCCCAGGCTGGGCTTGAACTTTTGATCCTCCTACCTCAGCCTCCCAAAGTACTAGAATTACAGTCAGACACCGTGATGTCCCAGCTTGCAATATGGGTCTTTGTGTCTGGTTCCTTATCCTTAGCATTATGTTTTCAAGGCTCATTCATGTTGCAGTATTAGTTTCCCTTTCTTATATATTCCTGGATAGTGTTCTTATCAGTCGATTCCCTGAGCTTGTATTACTTTTATAATATTATATATATATATATATATGTCATAGCTGGGTGTAGTGGCACATGCCTATAATCTCAGAACTCTGAGAGGCTGAGGCAGAAGGATCACAAAATCAAACCAAGCCTGGGCGATTTACTGAGACCCTGTATTAAAGTTTAGAAAGTAAAAGGGCTAATGTCATACTAAATGGTCAATAACTAAAAACCTTCATGCTAAAATCAGGAACAAGACAAGGATGTCTACTATTACCACTCCTGTTCAATATAGTTCTGGAAACATTAGCCTCAGCAATTAGATAAGAGAAATAAAAGGAATAAAGACAGGAAAGGAAAAAGTAAAACTGCCACTATTTACTGATGATGTGATGTACTCTACGTAGATGACCCAAAAAATTCTACCAAAAGACTTCTAGACTTGACAGATTCAGTAGAGGACCTGGATACAAAGTCAAGACTCAAAACTCAATAGCCTTCTTGTACACAAATAACAGACTCATTGAGAGAGAAATTAGGGAAACAATTCTTTTCACAATAGCATCCCCCAAAAATGAAATATCTAGGAATCAGTCTAATGAAGGCGACAAAAGACCTCTATGCTGAAAACTACAGCACTCTGAAAAAAGAAATAGAAGAGGATATAAGAAGATGAAAAAAATCCCTTGCTCCTGGGTAGGAAGAATCAACACAGTGAAAACAGTCATTCTTCCAAAACTGCTATACAGATTCTGTGCAATCCTGATTGAAATCCCAACAGCATATTTCACAGAATTTGAGAAAACAATCCAAAAATTCATTTGGAACTAGAAGAGACCTAGAATAGCAAAATCTGTTCTAGGCAACAGAGACATGGCAGGCGGTATCACAATTCCCAACTTGAAACTATACTACAAAGCCACTGTGATAAAAACAGCATGGTACTGGCAAAGAAAAAAAACTGAGGATCAGTGGAATAGCTTAGAAGATGCAGAAACAACACCAGACGTACTCAGCTACCTCATCTTTGACAAAGGAGCCAACCACCCTCACTGGAGGAAAGATAGCCTCTTTAATAATTGGTGTTGGAAAAACTGGCTTTCAACTTGCCAAAGATTAAAACTAGATCCCTATCTTTCACCATGCACTAAACTAAAATCCAAGTGGATTAAAGATCTAAATATCAAGACAGAAACACTAAACTTACTGGAAAGTAAATTAGGTAGAACTCTCAAAGACACTAGCATAGGAGAAGACTTTATCCTCAGCAGCACAAGAACTTGCAAAGAATCAACAACTGGGATCTCATTGTATTAAAAAGTTTTTGCAGTGTAAGAGAAATTACCAACAGAGCTAAGAGACAACCTACAATGTGGGGAAAAAATTTTTACCAGCTGTTCCTCAAAAGACTACTATCTAGAATATATAAAGAACTAAAAACAAACAAAAAAAAATCAGAACACCCAAATACAAAGACCTGATTCAAAAATGGGCATCTGAAATGAACAGACATTTCTCAGACAAGTAAAAAGTAGCAAATAAATAAATGAAAAAATGTTCCACATCACTGGTCATTCGAGAGATGCAGATGAAAACAACACTGAGATTCTACTTCACCCCAGAAAGAATGGCTGCTATCAAGAAATCAACGAATAACATACTGGTGGGGTTGTGGGGAAAAAGGAACCCTTCTCCATTGTTGGTGGGAGTGCAGACTGGTGCAACCACTGTGGAAATCAATATGGAGATACCTCAAAGAGCTGGGGCTAGAGGTCCCATTTGACCCAGCTATTCCCCTGCTGGGCATTTTTCCAAAAGAATTAAAAGAATCATACCACAGTGTTAAATATGCTCACCCATGTTTATAGCGGAACAGTTTGTAACAGCCAAAACTTGGAAACAACCCATATGCCCATCAACTGGAGGCTGGGTAAAGAAAATGGTTTTTCTATTAAATGGAGCACTACTCAGTCATAAAGAATGAGAAGCTAGAGACATTTATAGCTAAATGGATGCACATTGAGGCCATACTCTTAAGTGAAATAAATAGGACAACACTTGAGTAAATACCGAATAGTTTCTCTGGTGTGAAAAACTGAAAGTGTAAATAAGGTTCAAGCAGAATCATCGATAGTGTGAAATAGGAAGAAAATGGCTAAAGGGCAAGTGGGAAGGGGAGGAGAAAAGAAACAAAGGAAAAGGAAAAAATGGAAACAAATCTTTGTAAATAGGGAAGGGTGATGTGAGTAAAAGGATGGCAGGGGTACGGGGGGAAAAATAACCAGTACCTGTCATGTAAAGGTACAAGATAACTGTATTGTTTGCTTTCAATGTACCAAATATACTTAATGGGGGGAAAAAGTAAAAGGCTGGGGATGTAGCCCCAGTACTACCAAAAAAAATGTTTTTAATTTTAAAAAGAAAGAAAAAAGGCAAATGATGTAAACACGTAAATGTCAGCGCTGCTAGGAGGCACCTTGCAGGGTAGGGCCGCCAGCGAAGTCCAGGCTGGAGGGGCAGGTACTTATGTGTATGTCCTAGACTCTGAGAGAGGCCGGGCATGAGGGCTGGTACCATGTGTGCAGTTAGACAAAAGATCCCAGAAGCAAGCTGGATCAGGAAAGAGAGCAGAGCGGTACCACCCCAGTGGGCCTGTGGCCCGGGGTTTCCAGCCTCCAGTGTGAACGGGTGCTCTGAGTTGAGTCTGGTGAGGCTGGCAGGGTACTTCTGTCCAGGTTCCCAGGAGAGACCGTGCGGACCGTGGAATAAATGCAGCTGTGCCGAAGACGGCAGACCCCCAGTGGAGAGGACACAGGTGGCCTCCAGAGGGCCACACCCCAGGCCACAGAGAGACACAGATTGTCCAGCAGCCAGCTCAGGGTTCCGGGTAGCCAGCCTGGGGGCAGCCGCCAAGTGGTTTGCATGCGGCCCTGTCCCTGGATTTCACCTCCCCTGTGCTCCCTGCCAGGTACATTAAGATCGGTGGCAAGGAGGTGGAGTACCACCCCAATTTCCGCCTGATCCTGCATACCAAGTACTTCAACCCGCACTACAAGCCCGAGATGCAAGCCCAGTGCACCCTCATCAACTTCCTGGTCACCAGAGATGGGCTCGAGGACCAGCTCCTGGCCGCTGTGGTGGCCAAAGAGCGCCCGGATCTGGAGCAACTGAAGGTAACCGCCCTGAGGGGTGGCCCCGTGCATCACGCGCAGGGCTCAGAGGAGTCCTGCTTGCCTGTCCCTTCTCCCTCCACAGCCCTGGGCTCCCAGGTCCGTCGGTGCCCTTGCAGGCTGGGTGCCGTTCCTCTCCTTTGAAGCCCGGCTGGCAGGGTTCACACTGTGGCTACAGGAAGGCCCTGTGCCCAGGAGGGTGAGGCAAGGCCAGGCTCCGCTAACACTGCTCCCCGGGCCTCTGCTGCCCCCACAGGCAAAACTCACCAAATCTCAGAATGAGTTCAAGATTGTTCTGAAGGAGCTGGAAGACTCTCTCCTGGCCCATCTGTCGGCTGCGTCAGGGAACTTCCTAGGAGACACTGCCTTAGTGGAGAACCTGGAGACCACCAAACACACGGCCAGTGAGATCGAGGAGAAGGTAGGAGCCGGCCCCTGGCTGCCACGTGGCCCGGCCCGAGCACAGGGGAGGTTGGCAGCTGGGCCATGAAAAGCCCACACCGATGGGCAGGAAGAGGCCACAGTCACTGTAGGAGGCTGACGGCGGGGAGGGGAAGGGGCCAGGCCCGCCCAGCACCCTGCTGTCTGCAGAGGGCCCCCTGGGAGCAGAGGGCTTCAGGGGGGTTGGGGCCACCTGCTCAAGGCTTGTCCGCCTGCTGGTTTCACCCATGTCCCTTGTTTGTTTTGAGGTGCAAGAGGCAAAAATCACAGAAATGAAGATCAACGAGGCGAGGGAGAACTACCGCCCTGCCGCGGAGCGGGCGTCCCTGTTATACTTCATCCTGAACGACCTCAACAAAATCAACCCCATTTACCAGTTCTCGCTCAAGGTCAGCGGCCCCTGGGTGGCCTGGGGTTCACAGGGCCCATGGGGCGGTGCCAACCGAGGGCCGAGGAGCTCCGTCCAGGACGGAGGGGAGCCAGGGCACCAGATCGGTCCAGGGCGGGCACTGGCCGCTTCCCCAGGCCTTCAACGTGGTGTTCGAGAAAGCCATCCAGAAGACCGCCCCCGCGGACGAGGTCAGGCAGCGTGTGATCAACCTGACCGATGAGATCACCTACTCCGTCTTCATGTACACGGCCCGGGGGCTCTTCGAGCGGGACAAACTCATCTTTCTGGCCCAAGTCACATTCCAGGTAAGGTCTAACCTGGCCGTGGACTGATGGCATAGGGGTTCCCGGGAGTCTGGGCGGGGGGGGTGCAGGTTCTCAAGCCCTGTGCTTGGGCCTGGTGAGTGCAGACCTGTATTTTAGCAAGGTTCCTGGGTGACCGTAAAGGCCTAGGTGCCTGATGTGTGGTATACCTGTGGCAGTTAGTCTCTGTTCGGAAACAGCCAACGTCTTCTGGGGGGTGGGGAGGGGAGAGGAGAGGAGTCAGACAAAGAGGGTTTTACAAAGAAATATCATTTTACTATATTTAAGCAGTGTTGGATAAGTAGTCCTGCACTGGCGTGCGCCTAGCCCACTGTAGATACTAAGTAATATTTTTATTTTTGAGACAGGGTCTCACTGCGTAGTCCAGGCTGGCCTTGAACTCGCCACCCTCCTGACTCAGTCTCCTGAGTGCCACCACACCCAGCAAAGGGATAGTGCTTTAAAAAAAGCAAGGGCATGGATACTATAAGAAGTAACAATTTTACCGCTGTTTATACAGTCTTGCGGAACTATTTAGAGATTTGTTTCATTAAATTGATTAAAAAGAAAAATAAATAAATGGGTTAAAAAGCCCATCTCAGCAAGGCATAATGGTGCATATCCATAATCCCAGCTACTCGAGAGGCTCAGAGAGGATCACGTGAGCCCACGAGTTCAAGTCCAGCCTGGACAACACAGCAAGACCTTGTTTCAAAAACAAACAGCTTGTCTTAGAATACCGCAGGCAATCAAGACGTATCCCTCATGGTTCTGGAGTCTGGAGATCCAAGGCCAAGACACTGGCATCTGGCGAGGGCCTCTTACCACGTGATCTCGGGGTGGGATCTGAAAGGGTTAGGAACGCTGCTTCCTTCACAGCAGCACAGGCCTCGAATTGTGGCCTCGTGGCCCTGTCACCCCCGACAGATCTCCTCCAGCACTGCCACGCTGGGGAATAGGCTCAGCCCCTGCTTCTCGGGGTCACAGCAAAACCACAAAACGTCCCTTCGTGACCCTGGTTGTACCGCATTACAGCTGTGGCTACAGGTAGCATGGGCATCAGTGCAGACCACCTAGCTTTGAGTCCAAACTCAGACGTGGAGCCAGGGGTTCAAAGGGTAGAGGTTCCTCCTGTCTCTGAGCCTCTGAATCACAAGTCCACTGTGAGTTTTCCTTCTGCTAAAAAATCCTCGGAGGCCCCAGCATGCCCTTTCATTTGCTGAGACAGGAAGCTCTCTCCTTGGGCCCCAGGAACACAGTTTTGTTTGGCCGAAAGGAAGAGCTTGACTTGGAAGAAACTCCTCCGGTGTCTGAACAAAAGGGCTGTTTTGGGGCACCTGACTTTGGAGACAGCAGTGACCGTGCAGTGACCAGGGGGCCCCAGCTCCCCGTCATCCACCTGACAGGGGGTGCCTTCTGGCTGCCCCAGAAAAGCCATTGCAAAATGACCCAGGCCAGGGACCCAGGGACCCACCACACACAAGTGACAAGATGGTAGAGAACAGGACCCAGCAATTTCATTCCAGGGTATGAAACTGTGACACGTGTGTACTGTGGGTACCAAGCACTAAAACAGCAGGGGACTGGCACACACGACAACATGAGTTAACCTTTACACTTCGCCGCGTGTAAAGGAGCTGGACACCAGGGCATCCGTGGGGTCCAACCCCAACCGAGCCGAGCTCCGTCCAGAGCGGGTGACTTGATCTGGAAAGACAGAGGGGAGAATAGGACTGCCCCGGGGAGGCGGAGACGGGTGACGAGGTCACGGGACTTTCCAGGCTGACAGGAGCGTGCTGAATCTAGTCTGGCACAGTGGCTACCTCGTGCAACCATGGGCAAAAGTCAAAATTAAATTAAAATTTAGTTAAAATTAACCTTAAAAGTCAACACCGAAACTGGGTATGGTGGCGCACGCTTGTAATCCCAGCATTCAGGACACTGAGGCAGAAGGATAGGGCGTGAGTTCAAAGACACCCTGGGCTATATGGTGAGACCTTGTCTCAAATTTAAAAAAAAAAAAAAAATCAACACTTCAAAGCTGGTCCTTTAAATGTATGTAAAGTTATCTCAATAAGAAAATTAAATTCCAGGACAGCAGTGACAATCTGAAGTGTAGATTCCAAATGTCCCTTTGCCTCTCCTAAAAGCTAATTGAGAACCTAGAGGGAAAACATGAAAGTCAGTCTTCAGAGGCGAGCGAGGTGACGGGGCAGGAGTCCCTGCTGAGCTGTGATTTTGCTTTCCACAGTTGCAGTGACCCACTGTCCCCCCACTCTCTGCAAATAGCAAATGGAAAATTCCAGAAACCATTCGTGAGTTTTAAATAACTTTTATTGCAGTATATTGTTATAAAAAAAAAAAAAGTTCGGGGCAGGGAATGACCCAGCGTATTACATGCATGTACGGATATGCCCAGATGAAGCCCACCGGTCTGTGTAACCAAGCACAGAAGAAACCTCAGGGATCCGGGCTGCCATCCACACGGCACAGACCCAGCCAAAAGCCAAATGATTCACAACAGCCCAAGTAAACCCAGAGGCCTGGGGCAGAAGCGCAGAGGAACACAGTGCCATATGCCCCACAGTGGAATGTTACGTAGTCTTAAAAGGGAACAAAATTCTGACCCAGGCACTGCGACAGAGATGCCTCAGCGACATGCTCAGTGAAGAAAAGCCAGTACACAGCGTCCAGAAGCAAATCCAGAGAGGGAGAGTAGACCGGAAGTGGCCAGGGCCTGGGGGCAGGCGAATGGGGGCGGCTGGCTAAGAGGTTTCCTGCTGGGGCAGTGAAAGGTTCTAAAACCAGATTGTGGGCCCAGTTGTGGGCTTGAATGTGGTTAAAATGATAAGCTTTGTGTTTACCCCAATTTAAAAATACAGAGTGAAGGGAAGAACCAAATTCTGTCCCAGCCGCGAGCAGCGCGAACTCCTCCCATTTAATTAACCTTAGAATCCACACGGGAGCCGCGCACAGGGAGACTCATTTCACAGGCGATAAACTGCCAGCCCCACTGTGCTGCTGCTGCCCGGGCGCACACCAAGCATCGCCTCACCTTCCCTCAGGTTTTGTCCATGAAGAAAGAGCTGAACCCAGTGGAGCTGGACTTCCTCCTGCGCTTCCCCTTCAAGGCTGGGGTGGTCTCACCGGTGGACTTCCTGCAGCACCAAGGCTGGGGTGGGATCAAGGTGAGTCTTCAGTCTCCAGCTCTGGGCCCTTTCTTCCTGCTGCGGAGCCTCTCATCCCAAGTTTTAAGTCCCAGCCCAAACAGCCCTGATGAGGAGGGCAGTGCTGGGACAGAATGGCTTTGTCCAGAGCCCGTCCAAAGGCGCAAGGCCGCACGGCCAGGCTGGACCCTTCCCACTGAGGCCGGGCCCGCAGTTGACACGAGGGACAGTCACCGATTTAGCGACAGGCGGCTCAGAGCCCTGGGCTCCTCTTCGGGGAACTGGCTGCCACGTCTGCCCTAGGCGCTGGCGGAGATGGACGAGTTCAAGAACCTGGACAGCGACATCGAAGGGTCGGCCAAGCGGTGGAAGAAGCTGGTGGAGTCGGAGGCCCCGGAGAAGGAGGTCTTCCCGAAGGAGTGGAAAAACAAGACGGCCCTGCAGAAGCTCTGCATGGTGCGGTGCATGCGGCCCGACCGCATGACCTACGCCGTCAAGTGAGTGCCCCGGACGCCACGCAGGGTGGGAGGACCAAGGCCACGAGGCGCTGGGCTGGGCAGCAACCCCGTTTACAGAGGAGGGCAGCACGGGCCTCTGGCACTCACGGGCCTTCGGCAGCCAAGCTGTGACCCTGAGCTCCCACTAACGCTCCCTGTCCAGAGTGTGACCACGGTGGGAGGAAGGCCTATGACACGTGACGGGAAGATAGGCTCCCACTCCCACACACGCCTTCGAGACGGGCAGCAGCGTTCACGTCCTCATGGCCACGCCAAGGAAGAGACGGCAAATCCCCCAGCACGTGAGGACTTCCGACCCCTCTGCTGCAGCTCGTTTGCGGATGACCTGACCCCTTGCGTGCCGGAAGGACGGGCTGGTCCTAGGGGCAGAGGGGGTTCACACGGGCCAGGTCGAGCTCAGGGCCTGGGCGGGGGCGGCCTCTTTCCTTTTCAGCTTTCCCAGCAGCATGAATGCGGCCAGAGTTCCCAAAAGACACTCACAGCCCTAACAGAATTCCCCTCTGACAAAGCAGGGCCTTGACTCACACCCACTGCTTATTCACTGGCTCTTTGTTTTGCTGGGATGGAGAGGAAAAATGCCAGGAGCGGTGGGCCAGGCTGGGGTGAAAAAAAACAAGAGCTCACCATCATTCGGGAGGGCTGGGCTGGGCCAGGACACCGTTTGGGAGAGGTCCTGGGAGGACACAGACCATCCGAGGGGGAACCTCCGCCCACCCTGGAAGGCTCAGTGTGCACCCCACTCAGCACCACTAATCCCCCCTGGCTGCCTGGCTGGCTGGCCAGGTAATTAACAAAGGCAACTCAGTTCAACCCCTGCCCAGGTGCGGGGCTTAGTGTATCCCGAAAGGCCCTCACGTCTGCATTGTGAGTCAATCCCGAATGCCCTAACCAACGGGAGCCAAGGCTCCAGGAAGGACTCCCCTCTCCCAACCACCTGTGGTCAGCATCGGGGCAGGAAACTATAGAACCCAGCGGAGACCAGAGCAGGGAAATGAGTAACAGAAAGGGGTGCCCCGAGAGCCCCAGATCTTCCCTGAAGCAGAGGGGAGGGGCTGAGACTGCCTCCAAGGAGCGGGTTCTCAGCCTGCAGACACGGTCAGCGGTCAGTCGAGGCCTGGGCTGGACAGCAGAATAGAAGGAGCCCGGCTACCCGTGATCGAGGGAGGCAGCAGATACCGGACATCCCCAAATCAGTATCAGTCAGGACAGGACCCCGCTTTCTCTCAGAGGATTATCTGAAGTCCCGACTGACCCTAGATGCAGTTAGAGCTACAGGGCCAGGCAGAGGGGTTTCTGTATTCCAGCCACCTCTCCTCTCTAAGGCGTCAGGTGACTGGTGTTATGCGGCCCGCGGGTGGCCCTGCAATGCTGCTCTAACTTGGACTCCCTTCCTGCCCGCTGCCGTCTCGGGTGGGCCTCGTGTGCCCCTGGGAGGTTGGGGGCTTCTCCTAGCACAGCTGCTCGGGCGGCTCAGAAACACAGCGTGTCCATGACACATACAGTGGAGAAAGCGCACACGGTCCTGCTGCAGGAAGAAACCCCCCCAAAGAGCTTTGCCAGAAGTCTCTCTGCTCAGACCTCCCCCGGGAAGTAGCTCGTCCACTTGGGCCTTTCTCTCTGCGCCTATACATTAGCTTCCTATGGGCCTAGGAGGGCCTGGGGCTGCCCACAGCTCGGGACTCGGTGCAGAGCCATGGGTTCCACCGCTCTCAGGCCTGACAACACACGTTTCCTGCAGGAACTTTGTGGAGGAGAAAATGGGCAGCAAGTTTGTGGAAGGCCGGAGCGTGGAGTTCTCCAAGTCCTACGAGGAGAGCAGTCCATCCACGCCTATCTGCTTCATCCTTTCCCCAGGTGTGGACCCTCTGAAGGACGTGGAAGCCCTGGGTAAGTGCCGCGGGCCCGTGGCGTCCTCCAGGCCGGAGCATGTGTGGACACTGCCAGGGAAAAGCAAATCCAAACACGGAGAGGCGCTGTTACACACTGCACAAGGGCAGCTGGGTCAGAAACGGCGCGCGGACAGCTGCCCGCAAGGGTGTGGGGACGGAAGGCCACGCGGTCCGCCAACAGGAATGGGAAATGGCGCAGGTTTCTCAGCCTCACTCCGCTCCTGGCTGGAGGTATATATAGCTCAGTGGGAAAGCCCGCGCCTGGCGCGCAGGAGTGTGGTCCCCAGCACCCTACCCCACCCCAGAAGACACAGATATGCACTCACAGGAACTAAAAGGTACCATAAATGCCCACATAAGCATCCCCGACCAGGGATAAGCAGATGTAGGACAGCTGCGTTGGGGAATAAAAGGGAGAGTGTTCTGACTCAAGCTTCAGCACGGATGAGCCCTGAAGATATTATGCTCAGTTAAAAGAAGCCGGATACTAAGGCCTCAAACCCTGTGACTCCATTCACAGGAAATTTCCCCGGGGCAGAAAAAGGGTCAGCTGACACCAGGGGCTGAGGGAGGGGCACGGAGAAGCCTTGCCTCCTGGGTGTGAGGACTCGGGGAGCCAGCGCTGAGTGTCACTGGGATGGTGAGCCTTGAGGGGCGTTCTTTTACCCAAGTAAACAAGTGTGGAGCTCCGGTGGTGGAGGTGGTAGACCGCACAGCTGGAACCTTTGTCATTGAATCATCTCTGTGCTTTTCCTGTTTTTATTTCCTTTAGGGAAAAAACTGGGATTTACCATAGACAATGGGAAACTCCACAATGTGTCCCTGGGGCAGGGGCAGGAGGTGGTAGCCGAGAACGCTCTGGATGTGGCTGCTGAGAACGGGCACTGGGTCATTCTGCAGGTGCGGCCCCCTCACCACGGCAGTCTTGCGGCTGGGAACTGGAAGGGAAGCAGCTTATTTCGGGGATTTGCATTAAAAATGTGCAGCTGGCTGGGTCAGCTTTGGGGTGGGGGCACAAGGCGTCCAGGTGGAAGAACGGGTGGCTCTCTGACAGCAAACCCCTATAATGAGCTGCACGCCTGTCACCCCAGCACTCTGGGAAGCTGAGGCAGGAGGATCCTAAGTTCAAACCCATCATGGGCAACTTAGTGACCTAGCAAGATTGTTTCAAAATAAAAAGTAAAAAGGGTCGGGTGTGTAGCTCTGTGGAAGATCCTGAAATCCACTGCCAGAGCTGAAGCAAAACAAAAAAACCTCAGCCAACGGAACCATCACTAGGGGCCCTGCTTAGGGCAGGTAGCAAGGGCCACAGCCCCCCAGGACATGCGCTGTACCATGTTCTGGTCTGACCCAGCACGAGCTCCCCCTGCCCGCCCTGGCGCCCTTCCAGGTGCCTCCAGGAGGTGGGCTGGGGATCGGGTGGTCGCAGCCTCGTGTAGGGAGGATGTGGGGGACTCGCCACGAGGCTGGAGGCTTTGAAATAAACGAGCACAGGACCTGCTGGAAATACCGCAACACTCACTCCTGGCGAGGGTGGGCCGCGGGGGGGGGTGCCATCAGAACAGCTCGGTCTGCGCCAGGGGAGGGGCGCCGTGGCCATTCCTCACGGCCCTGGCCCCCGCTGTAGAACATCCACCTGGTGGCCCGCTGGCTGAGCACGCTGGATAAGAAGGTGGAGCGCTACAGCACAGGCAGCCACGACGACTACCGCGTGTTCATCAGCGCCGAGCCCGCGCCCAGCCCCGAGTCCCACATCATCCCCCAGGGCATCCTGGAAAACGCCATCAAAATCACCAACGAGCCGCCCACAGGCATGCACGCCAACCTGCACAAGGCCCTGGACCTCTTCACCCAGGTAGGGCGCCCTGCAGACGCAGCATCGCCGCAGGCCCAGGCTGCCCTCAGGCCCGGGAGCTGTCATCTCCGGCCTGGGGTCCTGCCCTCCACGCCACCCGCACACACCCCTGCCACCCCAGTGTGTTTCTCAAAGGCTAAGATCACTTAGATCTTTGTCTTTGTTGAGGGGAACGTTTCCCAGCCCCACTGACCCGTGCGGGTGAACCCTGGGGACAGAGCTTGTCGCTGCCCATCTGTGGGTGGCTTCCTGGGGTCAGTCAGCTTCCCACAGCTCAGCCACTGTCACCCCCTTGAGGTGTGACGCAGGCCAACTTAAGGCAATGGCCCATAGACAGCACCCTCGCTGGAGGCCGCGCTGTCCCCACCCAGGCCTGGTGTCCTCACCCTGGGCCCCCTCTGCGGTCCCGCCATCAGTAGGGAGGATGCCACGGTGGACCCTGTCCTCCTCCACACGACTGCAGGACAGGGTGGAGGCAAAGGCCCAGGCGTGCCTGGCATCACAGGCTCCAGGGGCACCACGCCTGCCTGGCAGGGCCTCCTGCACCTCCACTCCTTCCTGGAGTCTCCCACCCCTTGAGGCTGCACCCCACACCCCGTCTCTGTGGCCTCCCCACCCCTTCTGCCCACAGATGGCTGCTCTTGCAAGCTGTGTTCTGCGGGCACGTCCTCATTTTCACTGGGGATCAAAATCCACAGTAAATATATTTTTTAAATGTGTTATGATAAGACATGTTGTTGTTAACCCTCCTTGAAATGGTTCCCCTTGCTTTGAACACAGTTATCCCATTGCCCTTGCCACTTTCTGAAGCAGCTCTGGAGTCCTTTTTCATGAGCACCTTTATGAGGGGTGATTAAAAAAAATGCAGTGAATGCTGCTGCTGAGCGCCATCCAACAGGAAGGCAGCTCAGAAAATATTACCGACAGCTCACTGATCCAGGATGCATAACTTCTGTACCTGACTGACACCAGCAGGTCTCTACAGAACTCTGAGCCATCCACTAGCGATTCCCGGCCCCCTTGTGAAGGACACGCTGTCAAACAAAGGCAGAGGAGCAGACGCCTGAAGCGGGTCGCTTGTGCCTCTGTCCCCCCGTCAGTGCCGGGTGCCCAGCATGTGGTGACCACAGCACTCACGGGCAGGCCAGGAGTGTGGCAAGGGGTGTGCAGTGCGAATCCAGGTGACAAAGGGCCCTGGATGGACCTGGTGCCGGGGCCAGTGTGGCTCACGGAGCCCAGGGCCAGGGCCAGTGTGTGACGAGGTCACTACAGCAACTGAGACGACGCATTGGGTGGCCTCTGCGGCAGTGGGGCACTGCAGGAAACCTGAGTCTGCCCTGTGTTTAGCGTTTTGTTTGTACTGCGGGTGGCAGGCTCAGGAGGGACAGAGCAGGCCAGCAGCTCCTCTTCACCCATCGCCAGTGTGGGTCCTTCTAAGTGCCAGGACTGCTCCACGCCGCTGTGCCAGATGGCTACTTAAAAAAAAGTCAGGAGGAGTGCATTGTAAAATAACGATAATGTGCTGTACAGTGGCACACACCTCTACTCCCAGCACCCTGGGAGGCTGAGTCAGGAGGAGCACAAGCTCAAGCCCAGCCTGGGGAACTCAGTGACTGAGGGAAACCCTGTCTCCCGATAATGCAGTTCAGTGTGAAGGGCCTGGGTTCAATCCCCAGTGCTGCGTAAGTGAATGAGAGTAAAAGGGGTGGTACAGGGAGGTAGGACAGCTATGTCAGGCGCCCCCCGCACTCCACACCGTGCCAAGCACACAGACACAGCCGCTCCCTGTTATCAAATATGCACATACGTGATGTTGCCAGCTCAACACTCACACGACTGGCAACACGGGTGTCTGTGCCAGCATCAGCTCCATGCGAGTCACCCCAGAGCGACCCAACATGCGAGGCAGCACTGCGTCTTCACCCCAACCCGCTCTCACGCAATCTGTCTCCTCTGCGGCCTATCGGCGACTGAAATGTTGTTACACAACGCATGACTTATTTGATCCATTTCACCTGTTCTTTTGTTTTTGTTTCCGTTTTTTAGACAGGGTCTCGCTATGTGGTTCAGGCCGGCCTTGACCTCACTGTGTAGCCCAAACTGGCCTTGAACTTTTGGCAATCCTCCTGCCTCAGCCTCCCCAGTGCTGGGATTACAGGTGTGCGCCACCACCCGGCTCACTGGTGATAAATACTTAAAAGTGATAAAACTGCATTTCTGGAAGACACAGGAAACGCAATTCTACTTGAGCCTTCGCCAGTGGGTTGGGTGTGGGGAAGGACAGATTAGATCAGTCCCCTCAAAACGGCAAAAACGGGGCTGTCCATAAATTCTCCTCACCGGGTGTTGTGGCACATAAACTATAATCCCAGCAGTCAGGAGGCTGAGACAGGATGATTTCTGTGAATTTGAGGCTAGCCTGGACTACTCAAAGAGACCCTGACTCAAAAGACTTTAAACAAAAAGCAAACTCAAAACCAAACTTCCCCGCTTCTGCCTGTCCCCACAGGACACGCTGGAGATGTGCTCTAAAGAGATCGAGTTCAAGTGCATCCTGTTTGCCCTGTGCTACTTTCACGCTGTGGTGGCTGAACGCCGCAAGTTTGGCGCCCAGGGCTGGAACCGCTCGTATCCCTTCAATAATGGGGACCTCACCATTTCCATCAATGTGCTCTACAATTACCTGGAGGCCAATGCCAAGGTGAGGGCTGCAGTCAGTCCCCGCTCACCGCCCGCCCCCCAGGCACCTCTGTTCCTCCACCCGTGCTTCCCTCCCTCCTGCCCTCCTGCCCTCCTGCCCTCCTGCTCTCCTGCTGTTCTGCCTCGCTCCACGAACTAGGGTAACCTCGAAGAGCGGGTCTCCCCACGTCCTGTAACAGGGTCTGGTCTGCTGCCTCCGACCACCGTCTCTCTGGGGACAGTCCTGCTTGCGAGCTGTCCCCAGGGGCCATTCACGGACAGCTGCTCTGCTGGCCCTGGGTCACCCTGCCCCGCCCACCCAGGCCCAGCAGCCCTGGCCAGCGAGCAGGGACAGGAACAGGAGGCGGCGCTTCCTGGGTCGAGAGCCTCTTGTCCCCAAGGCGTCACAGTCGGTGTCTGGAGACAACCCTGGTTGGGCGAGGGACTCCAGCAAATCTCAAAAAGATGGGGCGCTTCTTTCCATTGTCATGGAACAACGGAATAAATGCACCAATGGTATGCAGCCTGCAGACTGCTAGGAGGCTGGGAAGAGCTTAGAGCAGAGCACTCTAGCCCTGCTCTGTTAGGTGAGGGGAGCTAAGGGCCTTGTACCTCCTAGGGCCTGGCCGCCCCACCGATGGACTGGCGAGCAGCAGCCCCTGGCTGGCGGCATCTGACAGTGAGGCTGGCACAGCCCCAGCACAGCCCCAGCACCTCTCTTCCATCGGAGCCACAAGGGCTATGTGTCCCCTACAGATCTTGGGCTTCTCCTCACTCTGGGCCCCAAATCAATGGCAGCAAGAAGCAGGGCTTCCGGAGAGCGAGGCACCGGGTGCCCTCTTAGAGGCCCAGAGATGGAATGGCACAGAGCAGCCCTCGGCCACGCAGAGGCATCCTGCTGGGGTGGTCAGAGCCGAAGACAGAGGCCAGAGGCCTCCAGCGCATCACTGAGAAGGGATGACGCACCGCCAGAGGCCCTGGGGTCCAGAGAGGAAAGGGAAGTACCAGGCCGGCCTTCCACGCCAGTCTTAGCAACCCCGTGTTCCACTCCCATGGAACAAAGCTCAAGATGCCGGTGAGAGCGGGAGCAGGGGAGGCACCGAGCCCAGGCAAGGAACGACAGACAGGAGCCTCGCACGGTGGCAGGCGCTGGCCAGGATGTGCAGCAGCCAGTCTAGAAGGCCACCACGGAGCTCCCCGGCCCAGGAAGGCGACGCCCGCCAGGGCGGCTGTCAGGGAGGCAGGGCCTGGGAAGGGGCAGACGCTCCCCCCAGATGCAGTCACGATCCCAGAGGCAGGAGGGCAGGAGGGGGGCCAGCTGCCGGGGAACAGCCACCCCTGTGGCACTGCGGGGAGGGACAGGTTGGCTCCAGCTGCGGACCCTGTGTCCTCAACCCCACAAGGGGACACACAATGGGAAGACGGAGGATTTTCATCACCCGGGTAGGAGCAGTTCCCTCTGGGGAGATGAGCGTGCAAGGAACAATCTTGCAAGAATTTGTGAAGGACATTTATGCAGCCACGTACCCCAATTCGGTGCATACAGGTTTCAGGTTCCCAGCTGCCAAGAGTCCCTGGGAGTACACAGGGCGCTGTGGGGCCGTGCGGGCCGCCCTTCCCGGGTCTGAACTTGGTCCAGGGAGCCCTGCCATCTGCCCTCACCGCGTCCTGCACTTTCCCTGCGGAGCACAGGTCACGCTTGACGCCCGTCAGCGTCTGTCTTGACGTCACTCGTGTCCCTCGGCCCCTCGCCCTCCTGACTGAGGAAGAGCAGTGCTTGCCGCTCTGGCCGTAAGACCAAAACCAGCTGGGGAGTTTGTCAGGACACCGACCGCCCCAGACTTCCTGGGGAGAGGCCTGGTAACCTCTCTCCAATAGCACTCCAGGGACTCTGTGGGGCAGGTGTGGAAACCCCGCTGGCATCCTCTGGTTAGCAGCCCCACCGACCTCTCCCCTCTGGTAGGAAATGACTTCCCCTGGAGGCAGCTGCGGGGCCCAGGAGGCTGAGTGGGGGGCCACAGGAAATGCAAAGCTGCCTCAGCAAGCCAGATGCGGAGAAAGCCTCTGGGCGTAGACTCGTGATAACCAAGCAGGGAAAAGCATTTCACGTCAAAAAATGACAGTTTAGAGAGCCAGGCACAGACTGAGGCATGAGCATTGCAAGTTGGAGAACAAACTGGACAACTTGGTGAAGAATCCATCTCAAAAAGAAGAAAAGGAATGAAGGAGAAAGGAAAATGACAATATTTTAAAAATGTTTTCAGTAATAAAACTTGAGCCTAAATAAATTAATTGATCAGCTAGTTGTTCTTAATCCAACAACACCTGATCAACGGTCCTCTTAGCCATGGCACTGTGGAAGTTGATGAACGTCACCTTTCCCCCAATTGTCCGCGATCCTTGGACGCAGGACGCACGCACAGCAGACCTCTACGGGGCCGCCCCATGGGAGGTGGCCAGGAGCAACGCGGAACACAGCCCCTGAAGAGGTAGTGCGTGTGCAAGATACACGCCGAGTTCAAATGCGCGATACTGAAAAGTAATGAGTATATTACGAATTCGTTTTTTTTTTTAACATGTTAGAACGATCCTTCCAACTTTCTTAAAGCAGCTGCTAGAAAATTTAAGATTACACGTGTGGTCAGTGCCGTCAGGCAGCCTGGTAGAGGTCTGTGCCGAACAGGCCAGTCCCAGCAGCCGAGAAGGAAGGCCGGCTTGTATGTTTAGAAGACGTGAGCCATGAGACTGTGACTGAAGAGAGGCAGGGCGGCCCAGAGCCAATCCTTGAGCAACACAGAACTCGGCTGCCTGTGCTGAAGGTGAACTTTGGGAGAGTTGGACCAGGCCTGAGAAATACAGAGGAGGGAGCCGGGGAGAGGAGCGAATCCTGCTTGGGTCTGTGACATTTGGGGCGCCAGCAGGGCGCCCGAGGAGGTGATGCTGAGGCACAGCCTGAGACGGAGGAGCCGGAGGACAGTGCGTCTCAGAGGGCTGGTCCCCCAGGGCTGATGCCAGCATGGCCGGCCTTGGCCTAAGGACAGCGGTCAGGGACAACGGGCACAGTGACTCAGTGGCCAACCAAGATGACTAGCCACCCAGCCAGCACAGCACGGAGTGAAGGACGGGGCAGGGCGGCGCCTCACCCTGACTGACTGCTCCCACCCTCCCGAAGGTGCCCTGGGACGATCTCCGCTACCTTTTTGGGGAAATCATGTACGGCGGCCACATCACAGATGACTGGGACCGCCGGCTGTGCAGGACCTACCTGGCGGAGTACGTCCGGATGGAGATGCTGGAGGGAGAGGTGCTGCTGGCCCCCGGCTTCCAGATTCCCCCCAACCTGGACTACAAGGTGAGGACGGGCACTCACGCTGGGGGGAGGGGGTCCGACATGAGCTCAGCGGGGGTTAACACCACCTGGCTAGCTCCCAGTGGGAGCCTCACAGCATGAAGGGAGAATCGGTGATTGAGCAAGAACGCAGGCAACCAAAATAAGGAAGGAGGGGAAATTTCCTTTATGAAGCTGGGGAGCACAGGGGGCAGCCCGTGAAGGACCAGGGAACAAGTAGGGTTTGTACGGAAGACAAGATGTGGGTGGAACATTCGGGTAGGAAATGCTTAATAAACACAGGACGTGGTTCTGAGCTTGCACAGATTTTCTTTGGCAGCCTGCTTACAAACCGCCCCTTTCCAGGGTTACCATGAATACATAGATGAGAATCTGCCTGCTGAGAGTCCTTATCTGTACGGCCTGCACCCCAATGCAGAGATCGGCTTTCTGACGGTCACTTCGGAGAAGCTGTTCCGCACTGTCCTAGAAATGCAGCCCAAAGAGACGGACTCGGGAGCGGGCACAGGAGTGTCCCACGAGGAAAAGGCAGGACCCCTCACGTCCTCCCCCGCAGCAGAGGAGGGGCAGGACCTGGGCTCTTGCTAGCCAGGCACCCCGGCCTGCCCCTGGCCTCGGGAACTGGAAACTGGCAACAAGGTCCCCAGGCGTCCCTGGCCTAGAGAGAAGCACTTCCATGTGTGACCAACATGTGGGCCACTCTGTACAGGGCTGTGGCCAGCAGGGTCCCCACAGAGGACAGAGTCCCGAGCCCACGCTCACTAGTGATCTAACGGAGGAAGTGAGTGGACTTGGGCATGTCTAGAGACCCAGACCAGGGATCCCGAGGCACCCAGTTCTGGTCACACAACCATGCCAGCAGGGCCGCTGGCCTACCGGCCTACCAGTCGGTGCCCGCTGACCCGTGTCAACCGTACGGCCGTACCCCACAACCCTGCGTCTCTGACAACTCCCCTTGCCTCTTAGCTGTCCTCCGGGGTTCGGGTCTGCGAACACTCGGGCAGGCTCCCGAGCCCTGACACTGGCAGGGAGGGGTCTCCGCTTCGGGGAACACACAGTGATCGGGGCTGGGGTCTGATTTCCAGGTGAAGGCCGTGCTAGACGACATCCTTGAGAAAATTCCAGAGTCGTTCAATATGGCAGAGATCATGGCAAAGGCCGCTGAAAAGACCCCGTACGTGGTAGTCGCCTTTCAAGAATGTGAAAGAATGAACATCCTGACCAATGAGATGCGCCGTTCGCTAAAGGAGCTGAACCTGGGGTTGAAGGTGATAAAAAAAAAACAAAAAAGAAAAAACAGGGCCGCTGAGGAGGCTGGGGCCACGACTAAGGAAGCAGGCTGATCTGGAGTGGCTGGAAACCAACAGCACACCCCAGGCTCCCAGCCTGGGCTGCTGGGGATCAATGTGTCAGGGCCCACCCCTTCCTGGAGTGGCTGGAAACCAACAGCACACCCCAGGCTCCCAGCCTGGGCTGCTGGGGATCAATGTGTCAGGGCCTGCACCCCTTCCCCCCCCCCTGGAGCTGTGGGGCCCCAGGACAAACCACAGGAGGTCACCCAGACTTCCCCAGCTGAAGACAGCTGAGGGCACACTGCACTGCCACCTTGGGACAGGCCGGGGCAGGTGCCCTCCCTCTCCCCAGAGCGGACCAGCAAGCCGCATGCCCAAGCAGCTGATCCCATCTGTGCCCCTAGGGGGAGCTGACCATCACCACCGACATGGAAGACCTGTCCACGGCTCTGTTTTACGACACCGTGCCCGACACCTGGGTGGCCCGGGCCTACCCCTCCATGATGGGCCTGGCGGCCTGGTACGCTGACCTGCTACTCCGCATCAGGGTGAGCACAGCCTGATGGGCTCAGGAAGGTCTGTCCCGGGTGGAGGGGCCCGGCCAACCTCTTAGCTGCCCTGACAGGGCAGGCACTGCCTTCCTAAAGAGCAGAACAGGCGAGTTCCTCGTGGAGTGGCCTCACATCCCAGTGAGGGGCTCGAGGGAGCTCTCGGCACTGCCTTGTGTGAGCAGCAGGGTGACGGAAGTAAGAACTTTTCTGGGGCTCCCAAATTATGCTCAAGTGTTTTGCCATTACTTCTCGACCCTGCTCTTCCATTCCCTATTTAAAGTGGGGCTGGGGCTGAGGCTGGGGCTGAGGCTGGGGCTGAGGCTGGGGCTGGGAATTTAGCTCAGTGGTTCTGCCGCCTGCCTTGCAGGCGTGCCATTACTTCTCGACCCTGCTCTTCCATTCCCTATTTAAAGTGGGGCTGGGGCTGAGGCTGGGACTGAGGCTGGGGCTGGGAATTTAGCTCAGTGGTTCTGCCGCCTGCCTTGCAGGCACAAGGTCCTGAGTTTGATCCCCGGTACCAAACAAGCAAACTAACAAAGTGGAGCTGGACGCCACAGAAGGTGGCAGGCTCTACTGACTGCTCTCCGAAGCACTCCTGGGCTCTGGTGGTGGCCTGTTCATCCCCACGCCCCCACCCGTCACTCCTATTTCCTGCCAGGAGCTGGAGGCCTGGACCACCGACTTCGCCCTGCCCACCGTGGTGTGGCTGGCTGGATTCTTCAACCCCCAGTCCTTCCTCACGGCCATCATGCAGTCCATGGCAAGGAAGAATGAGTGGCCCCTGGACAAGATGTGTCTGTCTGTGGAAGTGACCAAAAAAAACCGGGAGGACATGACAGCTCCCCCCCGAGAGGGCTCCTATGTGCACGGGCTCTTCATGGAGGGTAAGGATGGGCTGGTCTGCCCGCAGAGGCCTGCACAGCCAGCTGCTTGGCTGGAAGGGTCCTGTGCACAGGTCTCCAGGGGAGGGGCACTGAGTGGGCAGGAGCTCGCTGTGGGGGCCGGGCTGACCCCCAGAGAATGTGCAGAGGCCTAGGGAGACCAGAATCCACACTCCAGGCAGCCAGCCTGGTGACAGTGCTGTGAAGACAGCTGGAAACTCACCGTGAAGCAGTGAGCTCGGCCCTTCTGCGTGGGAGCGGGCAGCCTGGACAGGCCCCAACCCCCCGTGCACCCACATCTCAAGCTGCTGCTGCCCCAGAGAGGGCCTAGAGGGAAGGGTGTGCCACTGACCTGCCACCCATCCTGTGAGAGTGGGAGGGGAGGGCGGGGACATTGTCACAAGTCACCCCGTCCTACCGCCAGCCCCAGCCCCAGCCCCTCTCCACCACAAGCCAGTCCCACTCGACGGCCCCACCTCCCACAACACAGCACAGATGAGCAGCAGCGTTCTCCATGTTTATTTTGGAATTCCAGGCAGGAAATATACACATCGTTAACCAGGACAACTAGAAACGACAGCAGTCTGGTTAAAGGCAAATAATACCTACATATGCAGATATATATATATATATATATTATTTATACGATATATGTACACACAGGATAGACACTACATAGTAGAGCCCGGGAGCTCTGTCATTTTCAGCTGGAGTTAATGATTTCCTGCCCCTGAAATTAAGCAGCTGACAGATGAGGCTCTGAGAAAACAATTTAAACAGACGGATCCAAGCGCCTCAGAGCTGAGCTGTTCCTCGGTGCACAGCGAGAGGCACAGGGCAGTTGCAGCATGCACAGAACGCCGCCCAGTCCTGGCCTGTACCCCGGGTTCAGCTACTGCAGTCCCGGGCACGTGGCCTGAGCACTTTGGGATGTGGGCAGTACCCTATCCCTGCAACGGGGAGGGCAGTGCACAGCCTCCCTGGGGGACCCTTCGTCTCACGGGGCCACACTGACCCTACAGGAGCTCGCTGGGACACACAGACTGGAGTCATCGCCGAGGCGCGGCTGAAGGAGCTGACGCCAGCCATGCCCGTCATCTTCATCAAGGCCGTTCCTGTGGACCGAATGGAGACCAAGAACATATATGAGTGCCCTGTGTACAAGACACGCATCCGCGGCCCCACCTACGTCTGGACCTTCAACCTGAAGACCAAAGAGAAGGCGGCCAAGTGGATCCTGGCAGCCGTGGCACTACTCTTGCAGGTGTAGCTGGTGCTGGTGCTGGCTCCCTAGCCACACCCTACACACGCCAAGAGCTGGGCCGAAACTCAGACTTTCTGGTCGGAAACTCAGCTTTGCAACTGTCACTTCTCGTACAGGAACTGATGGGGTTTGTCTCTTACACAATCCAGGTGCTTTATAACCAAGTGCACCTGGACTAGCCAGAGGGCAGAGTCTGGTGGGGAAGAGGTGGTGCAGATTAAAACAACTGCAGACACTTGCCTGTGCTCAACTGATTCGGCTCAGTGCCTGATGCCAGCCCGGTGCCTGGCACTGCTTGTAGGCAAGGACCCAAATACCCCAGGAACCAAACCCCAAATCCTGACTCCCAGGGGTCCAGCCAGGCTCTTTGGGCTGATGCTACGTACAGAGCTCGCCCAGTGGGACCAGGCCCCTCGCTCCTAAATGGGAGTTGCGACTCCACACTGCATCTTGGCATTCTCCTCCTCTCTCAGGACAAGAGGACCCTACGTGGTTACGGAAATGCCCACCTCCCCCAACCCCACACCACAATGCAGAACACTTATTCCATACGGGTGCCATTTCCACGTCCCTGAAGTGCGTCCTGCTCAGCTGCCCACCCCTTCTGAGACTGCGCAGGGCACAGACACAATGGGGACGGCAAGGGCTGGGTCCTGGGGGTCTGGTTTTCTTAACCTCCACTGCGGAGTGTTTCCTCCTCTCGCCCCACCCCATCATTCTCACGTCCTGCGCTGGGACCAGGTGCGGAGCAGGCGCTGTGTACGTGAGACACCTGCCCAGGCTGCTCACTGGAAGCCGAGTTTCTGCTCCTCTGAAGGAGTCCTTCAGCCTGAGTTTCAGAGAGAAGGGCTCAGGAGAGCAACCTCAGGCACCCACAGCCCGCAGACATGCGCGAGTGCTCCAGAGGCCTGTGTCACAGCCTCTCCCCGCCTGAGACATCTGCCCGGGCTGTGGCGGCTGCAGGTGGTATGGGCGAGCAGGAGTCTGCTCTCTGCAGTCAGAGCCACTCTGACAGAAGTGAGATGAGGCCCAGGCCAGAGGATCCTGACCGTGCCAACACAAGACACACCGGCAGGGCTGTCAGCCTGGCCCTCGGACAGAGGCGACTGACCAGATTAACAGGGCACTGGTTAATCCAGGTAAGACGGTTCCCTGAGGGAGCACGACACGGTCTCCTGTGTCTGAGGCTTCAAATAGCTCAGTGCTGTGTGTGGGGCTCTTAGGAACAGCACCTGAGGCTCAGCCGATCCTGATGGGTTTTGCAAAACCTTTTTTCCAAGAATATGCACCTAAACCACGGTGACAAGTGGTCTGGGAAGTCTGAATTCTGAGGGGAATAATGAGCAACAGTGAGCACCCTGGGTGGGTGCTGACGGAGGAGGAGAAAGGGGGAGACCCTCCTCCTGGGGCTGTGGGAACCAACCCCCCTGCCCCGGGAAAAAGTAAAGGACCCAGGCAGGCATCTCAGCAGGTGCCCGGCTGCATGGCAACCACCTCTGCTGGCCAGGAGGGGTCACTGCAGCCCTTCGTGTCCTAGTAGGGACAAGCCCCTCCTCAAACAGATAAAACTGCCCATGGTCACCAGGCAGCTCACTCCCAATCCTTGGTAATAACCACAAAATGTGAAGCTCTTCCAATTTTGCCTTCAGACCCTGAAATAAAACAGTAATTTACTCCACATGTACACATTGTGGCTAGCTGACAAAATTATCTTCACATTTTCCAAGGGATGTACTTCAGGGGTGGGGAAAGTGGAGTCTGGAGCAGAGCCCCCACATGCCGGGTGCCTGAAGCAGCCCGCGCTTCTGGTCTCTGCCTCTCCTGGCTGCTTTACAGAGCTGGGGAGCCCCGGTCTGAGGACTGCTGAGTGGAAGAACCTGCCCCCGACACCCCGAAGGCTGTGAGCAGACAAAGGAAGTGGCAGGGCAAAGGGAACAGCACAGAAGATTGTGCAAGCCTGGCTGTGGCACAATGCCGTTCGTTCTGGTCCCACAGAAACTGCAGGAATGCGAGCGGTGTTTAAGCAAGCCTCTCCTCTCCAAACAGAAACCCGGCAGCCCTGCAGTTCCTGAGGCTCCTCTCAGATAATCGTCCCACAGGACAACTTAGTAACCAGTGCAGAGGCAAACAGTGTTAACTGATGCGCAGCTGCCCCGGGGCAGTGTGGTTGCTCCGCCACTGAAACCTGCACCGTCCTGTCTAACACTGGGTGCTCCGGGGCTCCTGGTACACAGAGCCGGGGTGTGGTGATGAGGCCAGCTGGCCCTTCAGAGTCCGCAGGTGACCCTCTCCGCCAGCTCTTGGGAAGCAGAGGGGCAAAGTGCTGAACAGACTCCGGCCAGGCCTGCCCAAAGGACGCACCGCTGTGCCCTGCAGTGCACCTGAGGCCTCCCCAGCATTCCTGTGCAAGGCTCGAGCCCGAGACGCAAGTGGACATTGAGGGTTGGAAGTTGCTCGTGGAGATGGGGGAGGAGCCGGCTCAAGAGCCCCTGCTGCGGGAAGGTGCCCCAATCACCAGGTGGTGTCCTTACCTGGGACTCAGATCAAATCCAAAATATAAACAGAAAGCAACTGGATGACCTCCTGACTATCTGACCATATTGAGGAATTTTGTTCATTTTTACTGAGGCATGATTTGGTATAATTAATATTCTGAAGAGTATGCTTATATTCTAAGGGGATAACGCGTATGTTTAGAAATATGGACAAGAGGGCGGGGGATGTAGGTCAGCGGCGCAGCGCCTGCCCGGCAAGCGTGAGGCCCTGGGTTCGATTCCCGGTACGAAAAAAAGAAAAGTGGGGAAAAAAAAGAGACCCCCCTCCCCCCAAAAAAGCCCCTTAAGAAATATGGACAAGGGTGACTATTGTGAAAACCAAATCAAAAGTGGCTGCTAGGGAAACAGGGCAAGGACTGGCTGCATTTTGTGGGTCTCAGAGTTCTATTTTACTCTATTTGTACATTATTTAAATAAAATTAAATAGGAAAATAACGAAGAAACAACAGTATGATGAAATAAAGAATCTTTCAAAACACAAGGCTCAAGGGCTGCGGATTTAGCTCAGTGGTTCCACCACCTAACTTGCAAGCACAAGGTCCCGAGTTTGATCCCAGTACAAAAAAAAAAGGTTCAGAGGAGAAGCAAGGTGACAGGAGCCGAGGAGACCCACACATCTGGCACCCGCGCTGCCAGCCAGCTAGGAGATGACCCACAAAGCCCTGACCCCCTGTGTACCCCAGGGCGTGCTGAGCCCTGAGAGGCCTGGAGAGAGCACTGCTCCTGCAGTCCAGGTAAGGGCTATCCGGCCACCTACCTTGGGACCCAGCCAGGAGCTTCTGGCAAAGCAACAAGCTCGTCCCGCTGGGGAGAGCACATCCTGTCACCTAGAACATCGCGCCTCTGTCTAGAACACCACACCCCCAAACTGCGTCACAGAAACACCAAGAAGGTGGCAAGGTGGCAGCCCCCAGGTCTAGCCCGGGTTCCAGCTCATCTTCTGAGTGGCAGCGGCCCAGGGCTCCCGGCCAAGAGCACTCCCTTCTCCACAGCCACTGTCTCCCACAGGGCCGTGCTCAGCTAAGAGGGGGAGAACAGACTCTGCCTCTGTCTCTTGGGACAGGGCCTTGCCCCAGGGCCTCCCGGGACCTGCTGGGGGAGAGGGTAACAGGACTCCACACTGCCAACCCGTCACGGTGACCTGGTGAACTTCGTATCAAAGGCATTGGGACCAGCTGCCCACAAACCTAGTGGAAGAGCTCTGTGCTTAGGCCAGGAGAGGGTGAGAGCCCTCAGGGTTCTTGGCCAGGTCCCCAAGAGCTTGAGTAGTCAGGGTATTGCGGCCAGATTCTGAGCTCTCAGCAAAACCATGCTGAGAGGCGGCGCGAGGTACGGTACCTGTCCATCCTCAGAAGAAGTTTTTGATCAGTGGAGTCACCATCTTCACCCACAGCTTCACCTGCCGACCCGGCTGCTCAAAGGTGGCAGAAGACACCACACCTGAGCGCAGGTAGAGCTGCTCCTGCTCCTGAGGAAGAGGGACAGACAGGAAGAGTTAGTGAGTCAGCTCAGTGGCCTGGCTCAGGCCCCGGCATCCCCACCACCAAGCACCATTTCCCAGGGCAGGCCGGTGTCCCACTAAGGGGCAGCTGCCCACCGCCTGCAGACAAGGGGCCCATGCTTCTGAAGACATGTAAGGCCGAGACACGACGGGTCTCTCCCTTCTTCAATTTAGGGTTGAAGAAATGCTGGGGAGAAATATTTTAGATGTTCAAGGTCACTAAATGAAGCAGTGCAAATTAAAACAACAGGGAACTGGGTTTGGGCGTGGTTCACTGGTTAAAGCACTCGCCCAGCACACTGGAGGCCTGGGGTTCCATCCCCAGAAGACATGTAAGGCCGAGACACGACGGGTCTCTCCCTTCTTCAATTTAGGGTTGAAGAAATGCTGGGGAGAAATATTTTAGATGTTCAAGGTCACTAAATGAAGCAGTGCAAATTAAAACAACAGGGAACTGGGTTTGGGCGTGGTTCACTGGTTAAAGCACTCGCCCAGCACACTGGAGGCCTGGGGATCCATCCCCAGCACACACACACACACACACTGTCCTAAACTGGAGACAGTTTTCTAATATACTGGCAAACAGTTGTTCTGCAAAAGCATTACCCAGCTGAAGTGTACTGCTGAGGGCAGGACTGCATCATCTTTCTAGTCAGTGATTTGGCAACAGGTCTTGAGGGCCTTAACAAGTCAAGGATTTATCGTGGGCAAACGACCATACACTCAGAACTATGAACTAGGATTCCTGTACTCAGATCCTTAGAATATGGAAAAGCTGGAAACCACCAAAGTGTCCAGTAGCAACTTAGCACCAAAGCCACAAAACAAAACACTGACCGTGAGATAACGTCACACGGCACTCAGTACAGTACGTGGGAAAGTGCACAGAAGCTACGCAAAGAAGCTGGACGCAAAGCTGGACACAACACATACCTGGTCCCTCAGCATCCTAAGGGGACCAGGCCCAGGACCCCCAGATACCCATCGGGGGCAATCGTGTCCCTGACATCCAGTGGTGCAATACTTGCATATAATCTACGCATACCCTCTCTAGGTTTCTAACTCAACTCTAGTTTACCTAATACTGTGTAAAAGCTGTGTAACTAACTGTTATACTGTATTGTTTAAAGAATAACAAGAAAAAGGTATGAGCAAATTTTTCACAAATATTTTCAACCCACAAATGGGAGAATCCTTGGATTCAGAACTTGTGGATGTGGAGGCCCAACAGTAATCCTAATCTGTTTTTTGTGGGTTTTTTTTTTGTTTGGGTGTGTGTGTGTGTGTGTGTTGTGTT